CCGCGGGCGAGGGCGGCGGGCAGCGCGACTCGCCGCCGCCGCCGCCGGAGGAGGAGGAGGAGGCGGGCGGGAGGAAGCCGGGCGGCCAGGCGGGCTGCGAGGAGCCGCGGGAGCAGCCCGGGGACTGCTGCCGGGAGCCGCCGCCACCGCCCGCCGCCGGCATCAACCAGCTGCCGCCCTCCATCCTGCTCAAGGTGCGTGGTGCCCGCGGGCCCCGGCGGGCGGGCAGCGGCCCGAGGGCGGCACTGCCGCCGCGGCGCGGCCTCCCGCCGCCCGGGACACCCCTGCTGAAAGGCTCCAACTAACTGGCCTTTAGCACGGATGCAGCATTCCCATCGTAGCCTCTTCTACAAAGACCGTGTTTTTCTATGGGATAATGGGAGGCAGTTACACTCTGAATTTCCAGTCGCTTCTTATTGTGAAAAGTTGAGGGACCTTGCAGGGACTCCTGAGTCGCGAGTGGCTGCTCAAGCCCTGTTCTGCTGTTCTAACTGTTGTTATCAGGCTTAACTTGGCCTGCAGATCGTCAGCTGGGCACTGCTGACCTCGGGGAGCCTGCAGTGTGGCGTATGCTAGCTAATCTCATTTTGTTCAGCCAACCCATTTAATGTTTATAAACAACCGATTTGCTTTTCACTTGGTCACTGAAACATACGTCAAAAACATGGCAGAGAGGGCACGTTTTCATCTTGAAGCTTTGTAGAGGAGGATGAGGTGTCATGGAACTAAATACAGATCATTTCAGTATGCTCTCTTTAAAAGCCAGGAGGAACTATAGAATTTATAGATTGCTCATCTTGGCAGTAGCCTAGACAGATGTAGGAGCTAACAATCCATATGTAAACATACAGTGTGAACAGGAGTTCACAGCACTATGTGCTGTGTATTGCTGTCCTGTGCCTGTTACTGTTTCACTGGCAGCAGGTTTGCCACCAGGTTCTTCAAGAAGATGTTTTGATCTTCATGCAGCACTGGTGTTTTGTTTGGAAGTAGACTCGGGTATATCTGAGACCCTGTAGCCTAGAGGATGGGATGATTAGAAACAGCTGCAAATACTGAAAAACAAGTATCTAATGAAACCTTGTTATTTAGTACTCAAAGTGACAGATTTTGTGGATCAGAGGAGCTGTGTGTTTGTCTGTTGGCCTAAGAGAATCTGTAAAGATCCAGGAAAACTGCTGTGACCCCCACAGTTTATATTTTTCTGTGACTTGGCTGATGAAATGGACAACATCCTTAATTAAGAGTGTTCTGAAGCTTGGGGAGGGTGCCAAGCTAAAGGGATGTGGGCTTATTAGAGGATGTGATTAAAACTCAAATATGATAAGTTTAGAGCTTTTTGACATTGCTGATTTTTGAAGTATTGCCAACAGAAGCAAATCCTCTTTTTGCTTCTCTTAGCTTTGTTGATTTAACAGCCTTGCAAAGAAGGAACTGATGTAAAGAGTGGCAGAAAGCAGAAAGACCTTACTGGGATGTAAGAGAAGGGACTGGAAATGCTGGATGCAGGAAGGAAGTTGTGATCAGCTTGTTACTTGTAAAGCTGCAATAAGGCTGTGCCCACTGGGCTGTCCTTAATAATCTCACAGGCAAATTGAAGAGGAATGCTAGGAGAGCTGGAGGATGTGGAAACACAGCCTATGACAGTAGTCTGGAGGCTCTTTTTCACCCAGAAAAAGACGACTGAGATGAGATTCAGATACGCACCTCGGGTGTGAGGAAACTGGTGACAGACGTGGTTGTTTCCTGTCCGTTGCTCTACAGTAAGAAAGAGTAGGTTTACCTGATTTGAATCCCCCTTACACCAGGTTATGTAAAATGACACAGAGTAAGAACATCTCAGTCTCATCAAATGCTGTTTCTCCTCTCTGTGGTTATGGGGGACATGTGGTGTGTGTATTTGTGTCTTTTGTTTGTTTTTTTAAACAAGTGGCATGTCCTTATTGCTTATCAGCGTTGTTTTAGGTACGCTTGAGCTTACTTCAGAGCAGCCAAAAACTGGACTAGATGACCCTTTTTAGATTGTCTTTATCATTTTGCTGCTTCTGTAAGCCATGGATATATATTATTCTGTGTGAAGCAGATAATTGTTAATATACAGTGAAGGAAAAAGTTTACTTCAGTTTTTGTAACTGAATTCTGTGAGGTGTCTTTTTTTTTTTGAACTAAATTTTGTATTTTTGTTGTTTGGGCACCTCTGGTTCTTGCTCTTGATTCCTTCATCTTGTGCCCTGTGAGCTTTTTTCTTTTTTTTTTCCCCCCACTTTTTCCATTTTTTTCTTCTCACTTTTTCCATTCTTTATTTAGAGTAATAACTTGCCCTTTACATGTTTGCTTTTGGTAAGTTTGATGTTAAATTATTAGCACTGATTTGCACATTATCAGGATGATACAAAGAGGGTTTGATTAAAGCCAAAGCTCTTAGCTGTGTTGACTCTTGTACACTGTTTTGCATTTATTTGTGCCTGAAAAGACCAGAAATATTTTTCAGATGCACTTTTTTTTTCTCTTAGTCAAGAAGCAGAGATCACTGCTTCATCTCTCACATGCACAAATTCATGCTGTTGGTTTTCTAATACCACCTTTTCTGTCTTATGCTGGTGTCTCCATCAGATTCTCTAGTTTGGAACTTGTTTCAGACTATAAAATATCCATATATATATATATTTTTTATTTAGAGCACTAGAAAAAACGAAAAAGATTTTTTCCCACCTACGTGGCTGTTGCAGAGGGGTAGATGCTCTTTTTTGGGGGCTTGCTTGTTCTGATTAGCTCTGCCTGTATTGACCTTAACAAATCAGTGCTACTCTTCTCTAGTTTTCTTGAAGGTCACTGTTAGCTTATTTTATTATCACCGTAGATAAGTGAACCAGCCTCAACTGGTTCTGTGCTAGTACCGTGTGAATTGTAAGGCTCATCCCCTGAAGGAGAAGTGTCAGAGACTGGTGACAAAAATGAAGATGGTCTTATGAACATTAGTGGTAAAGTTCTAAAGGATGTCCTAACCTAACAAGTGGTTTCTTGCACAATTTACTTAACAAGTATAGGTATTTTGCATTTAAAATAAATAAATGAATTGTGAGGTTGGGGGGCTCCACTGCTCAGCTCCGTTGGGCCGAGGTCTTTCAGCGCCTTCGTCGAGCGCTCCCTTCCAGCAGGAAGGGCCTGGAGCCCCCAGTGGCCGTGGGTGTCTCCTGCTCATGTCTTGGAGACAGAGAGAGAAGTTGGACTTTTTTGCCTTATAGCTAAGCCAGTCTGTTAGCTGCTAAGGGCAGTTGCCCCCTGCACTCGGTGACCTCCGTCTGCGTGCTCCTGCTGCCTCCTGGTCTCTGTGTGGGGATCGCGCAGTTGTCGAGCAAGTTGGATCAGCCGGCTAATGTGATGCTAACCGGACAGTGCAGCCGTGTTTGGCTTGGGCCTCAGTTGTGTCCGGCTCAGGGATCAGCCACGTGGCTCTGAGCAGCGTCCCTAAGCTTTCATTTATTCTTGCTTTATTTTTCTCCGTATTCCATTGAGGTTATGTGTGGATAAAGTGGAAAAAAATTCCTCTTAGAGTTTTCTGGTAAGAGGTTATTCTGTTGTTTCGCTTGCTTGTAGAGGAGCAAAATATTTGCTTCGTAACCCTAAGATGATGTATAAACATGTAGTTCACAAGTACTGTGTTTAGCAGTCCTTTGTAAAATGTAATACTAAGGATATTCCTTTTATAGAGTGCTTGTTAAGAATTATTTGTGATAGTGAAACTTGAATTAGTTGCTTAAACAACCTACAGCCAGTATGGAAACAAATGGGGAACTTGCCAAGAACTGATAAATCACATCAGTTAGACACTAAGATGAATATATAGTGTCTCCCTCCATGTTTACAGTTTATTTTAATGTTCTTTATGTATGCTGTTGTTAATGCCATGAACTTTTTCATTATGCTGTATCAAGTTTTTCTGTTTTGAAAATAATTACATAGATATCAGTATACAGAAGATTTCTAGTGAGAAAAGAATGCTTTATTTACAAAAGTCTTTTCCAGGTAGATTGAAAGATCTTTTACTTGATAGTAGGGAAGAGGAACTGGTGACAACTGATGTTTTATAATCTGTTTTTCAGTAGGATATGTAGTCTGTAATGTCTTAAAGCTGTTGGTTCATTTTCACAGTTTGTAGCATCTTTAAGTAATGCTGTTAGTACTCAGGTAAACATCAAAGCAAAAGCTTCTCAATTCCATGGATGCAGTAATTCCAATTTCATGGTTGTGTGTTAAAAGTCATTTATCGTAAAATTATGACTGTTTTCTGTTCTTTGAGTGCATTCTGTTTAATTCATATTTTATTTTCTCAATGTGAAATCTGGATTTCTGGAAATGTTGGTGCTGATGATACTGTGTCAGCAAGCACATTGGGAATTATGTGGAATTGTTCTTTCTTCCAACTAGCCTTTATGGTTCTTGTGACTTTTCATGATTTGCCTTAAGAAGTGTATTTAATACGTGCTTGGTTTCACCTCTTTGGGAAATTCTGGTTATGACCAAAATCACTGTACTGTGTATTTTGCATATATCGTTCAAGCCTAATGTGTGTGCCTATGTTATCTACATTTTATCCTTAGTGTTTTAAGAAGTGATATTTACAGATTTTGATGGCCAGTGGTGGCCAGTGACAGGACATGGGGCAGTGGGTATAGGTTGCAACACAGGAAGCTCCGTCTCCAGGTGAGGAGGAACTTCTTTCCTGTGAGGGGGACAAAGCACTGGCACAGGCTGCCCAGGGAGGTTGTGGAGTCTCCTTCTCTGGAGGTCTTCAAAAACCCACCTGGATGCCGCCCTGTGCTCTGGGTTTGTCTGCTTGAGCTGAGAGATTGGACTAGATGATCACTAGAGGTCCCTTCCAACCTCAGCCAGTCTGTGATTATGTGATTTTTTTATTTTTTTCCAAAATTTTTGTACATTTTGAGCAGTGGGGAAATGCTAAGGTTCTAGTATCCCGAGTGTAATGCATAAGAGTTTTTATTTCTAAGTATTTCTGGTCAGATCCTTCAGTGATCTTGAGCAGTTTCTTCTTCCCGTTCTCGCTGTCTTACAGAATATTTTCCTTAAAAGAAATGAAGCACTAGAACTTTGGTCAGGTGCTGGATTTTGACAGTCTGAAGTGTCTCCCGCAAGGATTTAACCTGGCCTTTTTAAGACAATTTGTGCTATCGTCTGGTCCAGAGTTGTGGCTGGTCACAGATGTGCCCAAATACCCCAGAGATGAAGTTGTGATTTGGTGCTTAATATTTTGACAACCTGTGAATCCTTTCCTTGAGGGTGTTTGTATGGTTGTATGAGTCAAGGAAATTGGACTGTTGAACTAGTAACTAGAATAGTCCCTTTAAACTAAGATCCTGAGCATGCTCAGGGCTTGTTGTTGACATGCCTTGTTGCCAGCTGGAATACGTGCAGGTTTTGCTTGGGAATTTTTTCTACTATAGTTCAGTGGGTGTGTATATGTTTTCATAATTTCAAGCTCTGAAGAAAAACTTTTTTTTTCCACAGTATTCAAAATATTCTTATGATTAATATTTTTGTAGCAACTATAGAGAAACAAAACAGCAAGACTTTGATACCCCTTTGATATGTACCATTTGTGCCACTTCTTGTGTGCTGCAACTTCAAGTTTGATGACTACATCAGCGACCGTTTCCCTGCACCTTACATTAACTCTTGTTTTCTCTAGTAAAAGTAACGCCTCTTGACTCCTTACTGTTCCTGGTAATTAGGTTTATGTACAGCGTGGGCTGCAATGTGACCTTGAGTGTTTTCTAACATCTATTTCAACAGAACTGTACAAAAATATAGTCTGTGTCCTGCATTGAGTCCAACTGGCCTATTTTCAGCGATGCCATTGCTACATCTCTTGCTGGAGGTAGCAAGAGGTTTTCTGTCATGTTGCGAGGTTTTTTTCAGCTTTGATAACATGGTAATTTAAACAAAAACATGATTTACAAGCTTTTCCTTTCACAGTGGCAGTTGGATTAGCTATCATTTTCCTTGTTCTCTACTTATGGTGTTCTTGATTTTAAGAACTGCACACTTTCATTTCTTCACATAAATACTCTCTTTCATGGAAATAACACGTTTATTTCCCCTTCATAACAAATATTGGCTGATTTTGAGTATTTTGTGAGGCTTTTCCCAGCATCTCTAGTAGTTGTTACCGTGGTCCATGGCTACAAAATCTCAGAAGCTCACAGGCAAAAGTTTTATTTTGTACCAGTAGTAGGAACTCCAAAGGTTCCCACTATCTTAGTAGTTTAGTATTGCAGAGAATAGTCAAAAAGGTACCTAAGTCTCATCTCCAACAGTGATTTTATTTATTTTTATTTTTTAAAGCAACAGTTAGTGTTTAATGGCTAAAAAGACATGTGCTGTAGGAAGGTCAGGTCTCTTGCCAAGTCACCATTTGCTTAGAGCTTTTTCCCTTGCGGTGATGGAATTTTTTTGGATGCCATTCACAGCCCTCTCCTTGATGTGCCGTTGGAAGTGGAGTCGCCAGTGCATGTAAAGAACTGCAGGGAGGAAATGGGTGATGCCCGTTTCCACCAGGATTTCAGCCTGCCTGTGTTCAACCCAATCCCTTAATAAGAAACATAGGTTGACTGTGGCAGTGGCCAGCCAGAGGCTTGCAGGAGAGAGGAATGGCATTAGACAGGATCCTTAGTTCTCTGAAGACTCTTAATAGGAGACTGATACTTTCAGAGACAGAAAAAGGTGGAAATGGTGAATCTCACATGGATTTAAAGGAGGTTCCCTCCTATCCCCACAGCCTTCTCTTGCAGTTCTGTTAGAAACAGTCAACCAACTCCCCGTCCCTAAGCAGGTTTTACAGGGATATGGAGATTTAAAACTGCTAATTTAAACCAACTGTTTGAACAAGGAGGACGATAATGGTTGTCTTATTCCTGACAGCTGGCTCTCTGATGCATTTTAAAGAACACCAATGATAGAAATTCTGTAAGCTGTCAGATATTATAGTCTAAGGCTTTGTTGTTCTTATTTCAGCAACTTGACAGTTTGTGGGGGCCTGACTGTCTTACCTACACAAGTGATGTGCCACAAAAGTGATAAGGACAGTGTTTTCTGTTTTGTTTCCCCTCTCCCATCCCTTTTCTTAGGCCAAATGGTCCCAGTCTTTTCTTGGATTGTTTTTCCTGTTTTCTAGACCTCAGTGCTTTCCTCTACCACCTTTCTGATAAATTAATGTTTTCTTGAAGCAGAAGTGGCTGTAGTACCTTATGTAGTACCTGTAAGGCATCAGCCATGTAGGAGGGTCTTTCATGTTTTGCAGCTGCCCTTCTGGTTAGACGTCCTAATACTACTGTAATTACCTTTTTTTACTACTGTAATTACCTTTTTCACTTTAGGCTGATCTGTAGATTCAAGTTCATTTGTGGTTGCAAGGTGCCCTCAGAATTCACTCTTGATAGCCCTTCTTTTGATATCAATTTATAACAGCATTTCTGAGAAAAGGCATAGAACAGGAATTCATGTGAGCCTGCCATGAAGTCACAATCAGTTCCCTCCTTGCAGGTTGCTGTAGACCTAAAGCACTTGGAAAAAATGCAAAGGCTGTTCTTCGTTTTCTTGCATGACACTGGCTTGCTCTTCAGGTCTTTGTGCTGCCCTTTGCCTCACCTCCCACTCCACACATACTCTATACTGATGGTTTAGTGCCTTTATTTTTTATTTTTTAGCTAAGTTAACAATAGATAAAATGTCTTTCCATGTACATCAGAATAGGAATGAAAGCGTCTCTTTACTGCATGTGGATGATTGTAGAGACTTGTGCTGTTTCAGCAGTTTTTTTGGTAACGACCTAAGCTTCCGTCACAGCCGAACATCCACAGGGCACGTTGTGTTTCCCGGTGGTGTTGCGACTGTGACTGCTGCTACCTTGTCAACTGGTGCAGGATTTTGTTACTGCTCTTGGCTAATCTTGATGGAGCAAATTCTGGAAGTGTGTGCTGCACTACATACTGATATATTTTTGCTTTATACAAGACTTATTATAATAAGTAATGCTTTTCCTAATATGATTACTTCTCCTGACAAACACATTTCTTTTCCCTTTCTTTACAGATATTTTCCAATTTATCCCTGAATGAGCGTTGCCTTTCTGCATCTTTAGTCTGTAAATACTGGCGTGACCTGTGTTTAGATTTTCAGTTTTGGAAGCAGCTGGATCTCAGTAGTCGTCAACAGGTATGAAGGCTTCATTATCAAATTTGTTTGGATGTCTCGGAATTTGTTCTCCAAACGTCTGATCAAAGACAAACAAGCTTATGAGGGCCTCGGTGCTTTCAGAGCCCTTTCATACTAGGGGCTGAAAGCACCTGAACACTTAGTTAAATTCTTTGGGATAGAGATCACATGTGTTAACTGTGGTAGTTCAAGCAGTACGTGGGCAGATGCCCATCCTCACCCAGGGAGAGGACAAGTGCTGATTGAAATGGTTTGTAGGTTGAGCGGTGTGTGTCAGGCCCTCGTCAGCTCCCCTGCTTGGAGAGTTGCTGTTAAACGTGCCTCTGAAGCACTACTGGGAACCACCATGACAGACCACCTGACTCTTCTGAAGTGGCTCCAAACAAAACCTAGGTCACCTAGGTCCGAGGGACGTCTTCACAGACCTCTAGCCTGGAAATGCACAAGTGCTATGTGTCAAGTCTGTCTTTGCTCTAGGATTAGACTTCTTATTAGTGGAACATGGAGTGGAACACAGAATGTTTATTTCTTGACTGTAAGAAATGAAAACAGAAGGGAGTTACGTTAGTCTATCTTGCCTCTTTCAGGCTTATAGAAAGACATTGCCTATCCTAAGTGGCAGATGATGTTCTTGTTCAGCTATTTTGGAAGAATTTCAGTGTAAAGCACCTTAGGTTTTGAAAACTAATCTTTATGAAAGCAAATAACTTCCTCAATTTAAAGGTTATGCATTCTGTGTTACAAGCTTTGTGTTCTACTTGTTTTAATTTGTAACTCATAAGCTTCAGCTTGAAGAATGTCTTGTATTTCCTGCCTGCTTTGTGTCGTTGGCATCTTTTTAAAATTATTGGTACATATGTGTACTGTGTGCATAAATAAAAGCAGGATAGGATGAATTATCCTTTGAAGGAGTTCCATGGGAAAACAATGACTAGATCTTTGATTTAATGGCCTTTCATAGACTAACACTTTAGTTATTCGAATACTCCATTTTTTACAGTTACTTAAAATTATTCTACTTACAAGTAACTGGAAGATATTTACATTTTTTAGTTATGCCTCCACCCCTTTATAATCATGTTTTCCTTCTTTTTTTTTGTCTAGTGACATTTGGGTTACTTTTTCTTCCATTTTAAACAAGTCCATTGCTACTTGCATCACTGTAGTATATTGGTTGGCACCTGGTTTTGGATGATTACCAAAACTTGAGCAAGAATTCATCTTGTTCCTGAGAAATATAAACCTCTTACCTCTGTATCTTTTACCTTATTTGGATAAATAGAGTACTCGTATAGAAGGGCAAGCTAATCTTTTCTGAAGGATGGAGAATTCTTGGTCTAGAGTATGAAGAGGACCATTAACTCTGTCTCTAAGGACCAGAGCAAACCTCCCTGAAGTTACCTATAAATCTTCTTACAGTAGTCTATTCTTATCTCAGAAAATAAATATTTTCTTAATCTCTTAGTTTATGCAAACACAGCATGGAAATATTACTTTTTGTGTGAATGAGGCAAAGATGTTAATGAAAAAATAAATGTCAGGTGTGGTTTTTATTTTTATTTTTATTTTTTTTAGGTTACTGATGAGCTACTGGAAAAGATAGCTTCAAGAAGCCAGAATATTACTGAAATCAATATTTCTGATTGTCGCAACGTGTCAGATACTGGAGTATGTGTATTAGCATTTAAATGTCCTGGACTCCTAAGGTATACTGCCTATAGGTGTAAACAGCTTTCTGACACCTCCATTATTGCAGTTGCCTCTCAGTGTCCCCTTCTTCAGAAAGTGCATGTAGGGAATCAAGACAGACTCACCGATGAAGGCTTAAAGCAGGTAACCATCCAGTCAAGAAATTTATTTTGTAAATTTATTATTTTCTAACTTTTTTTCAAGTACAAAGAAAGAGTGGAAGAAAATGTTTTTTTTATTAAAAAAATATTTTTTAGAATATAATCAAAATATAATTACCTCTTTTACTTGGAAAACTATGTTTATGGCCATATATATTTTTTGATACAATACATACTTCCTTGTAGAGAGTATGTGTACTTCAATCCAGGGATTAAATGATCTCTTTTAAAATAAAATCTCCAGTTTGCCATGTTGCAGTTTACTCTGACTGTTTGTCAGGTTTTCCTGTACTTAGTTTCTGTTTAAAACCTATGTTAGAGTAACTCTTATTTGCATCATTAAAGCAGAAAGTGATTGAGCCTGTTTGTTGGTCATACTAGAAAGTTTCATCAACTCTATTACCTTAAAAGCACACTTATTGCCCCTTTCTAGCAGGCAGGTATTACTAACTTGTGAGATAGGAACCAATTTGTTTATAGGGCTTAAGTGCTGCCCTTAGCTCCTTTTTTAGTAACTATAGTAAGCAACTGCATTCCGTCATGTCCATAATCATAAATTTTCTTAGTTGCTTGCAGTTCTGATAAAACCTGCAGGCAAAGATGCCTCTTAAAAGAGAAGAAAATATCCAAATCTTAACTCCCAGAATTTATTGTTAAGTCAAATCCTCTTGAGGGGTTGTGTGTGTGTGTGCTTTTTTTGTTTGTTTTTTAAATTTTATCTATTTTTAAATTTAATCTGCTCAATCTTAAATCTTTGATTTAATTGATTGTAGCTGGGTTCCAAGTGCAGAGAATTGAAAGACATTCATTTTGGGCAATGTTACAAGATCTCAGACGAAGGAATGATCATAATAGCAAAAGGATGTCTGAAGCTACAGAGAATATATATGCAAGAAAACAAATTAGTAAGTACACATCATTTTTTTTTCCTTAACCCCATTTTCATTGTCAAAACTTTGTTCAGAACTTTCTTCTGAATGGTTGCTCCTTTTATGGCAATTGCCTAAGGTCTTAGGTATGAAGAATTTAGGTTCTACAGAGATAGCTTGGAGATGGATTCAACATATGTCAAAATTCATACACATCATAAGTCCATGCACCATGTATGTGTACATATCTTTTATACCAATATGTTATTCTGAGGTAAAAATTGTTCAACACTTTTGGAGAAGAATTTCATGACTGCAAATAAAAACTTATGTTTATCTTCTCTTGAAATATGTTGCTTTCTTATCAGGATGTAATACTGCAGTGGGCTAATGCTGGTAAAAGAAAGATGTTTCGTAGGTAGTAATGCAAATCACTTGTGTCCTAATTATTATATGCAGTCTCGGAAGAGACAGGTTCTAAAGGTCAAAGCCAGTGTCTACTAAATAGTATACTTGAGCAGTATATTAAACTCTTCATTTCCCACTCTTGTAAGTACATAAGTTTGTTTGTGGTTTAATTTTTATCTTTCGGGTCATGTCAGGGTTGTGACCCCTGCTTTGAAAACTGCTGACCTGGAACAAATAAGCTGTGTTTGTAAGAAAACAACATACTATGCCCTAGAGCCATTTGATATCTGTCTTCAGATAGAGATATCAATGTATAGATGACAGAGATATGAATTAAAAATCATTATCAATTAAAAATCCTTAAAATCTATCAACATTCAATGTTTTCTCTCTTTTTTTGAGAAGCCTCAAAAAAAACCCAAACCCTGGAGAAATATAAGAAAGTCTATAGTGTTATTAATGCTTAAAGAACAACAACAACAAAAAATTGTTGTGCACCTTCAAAATCTGAATCATTGTACGTGAAAGGCTGTCCAGTTATGCATGAAGACTCTGTGTATATAAAAGAAAATACACTTGTATACATTTATATAAATGACTATGTAAATGCATAATTGTTTTGAAATATGTGGATAAGGTGGTCACTTAACCTTTCTTATCATGTAAGTCTTGCAGTTGCCATAATGAAGATTGTAATCTCTCTTTATAGCTTGAAATCAAATCTAACTAGTTATCATCCTAGTTTTTAACATTCAAAAAAAAATCCTGTGGCTTTACTATCTGAAAAGCAATTTAGAATAACAGTTGAAAAAAAGTCATAGCAAATACCTTTTTTTAAAACACCTATTTAAAAAAAGGTATTTGCTATGACTTTTTTTCAACTGTTAATTTTAAATAAAGGAAAAAGGAATTAAAAAGGAATATACTCTTCACTTGCATGCTTTGTTTGGTGTTTTGTTACTGGAGATGTCATAATGCATTTTCAAGTAGAAATAGTTTGTCAAGTAATTTGTCAAAATCTTATTTTTTTTTTCTTCATTTAATTTTTCTGACCTACCTTAACCAGGAAAAATAAATTTATGGGAGCTTTGGTTTGAAATCATAAAAGCCAAATATAACTTCTTAAAGTCTAGATGTGACTAGATGTGATAAATGTGAAAAACTGTAAAGCTGTTGAGCATTCTACAATGTTGAACACACAGAACAAAGCGGGATTTGCTGGTGATTCTAGTAGATGGTAAAATTGCCAGCCTCTCTCTTGCCTAGTGGTAGGGGACTCTCAAACTTTGGTCTTGTGGAAGCATAGTCGTCTGTGGACCAAGTCAACTTTAAGTTTCCAGGCAGTTGTAAAGTGAGAATTTTCTCCTCTGAAAATGGAAGATCAGAATTGGTTGATGCCTTGGAGTTATTTTAAAGGGGACTAGTGGCTGGTGACAAATGCTACTCAGTTGCTTGCTGTGTTGAATTCTGTTTAGTTATTTTTGTCTTTAAGACTGCCTTCACTAATAAAAGCACTGTTAGTATTTGCTTTATCACTTCCTACTTACTACAGTCTTGGTGGAGAAGGGGGTTTGGTGAAATGTGTGTGGTATTTTTTTTTTTTTTTTTTAAGCAAGTAATCATTCTCTGAATTAAATACATTTCTGTCACAGGAGAACATAAATATATTCTGTCACAGTGCATATTGTTTGCAGACATGGTTTGAGTAGTTGAAATTTGTTGGTTTTGTCAGTCTACTCTAGGAAGAAGGTGAGCCTCCTTGCCCATCTTAAATAGCTTCTGTGTCTTCCTTGTGAATTTCATAGGTGAAGTCTTCAGAGTTTGCCTTTTTTTCCCTCCCATTTTTCATACTCCTCAAACAGGTGAATCTTACAGGCAATATCTACTAGCCTCAAGCTGTAGCACGTCGTAGATGGTGCCATTATGATGGCTGGGTTCACATGTAGGCTTGTTTCAGACTAATGCTTTCTGTGCCCTGAAAATACATGAATACAGAGGTGACCAGCAGCTGAGTAATGCCTTTGTGGCTGTTGTTTTACAGGGAAGTGGGGACCAGTGAATGCAGTTCAGTTGCTGCTTCTGTTGCTTAGTAACTCTGTTATTAGCCTCCTGAGCAGCAGCAGCAGAGACAGAAGAACTTGTTTTGGTGGCTTAGCATGCTAGGCATTTCGTAGAGGATCTGTTTCTTTCCCTTACTCTGACATGCTGAATACTTAACAGTAACAAGTGAAAACTACAAGTAGAGGTGGAAAGGACACATGAAACAGTTAATATTGCAAGTCCAACTTAACATAAGGTGGTTGTATTCATAACTGTTTATACTTTAAATTCCTTTAAAATGTTTACTCTTGTCTTTTGAACAGATGAATAACTATCTTCTTTCTCTAGCATCTTGTACAAGTTGAGAACCTAGTGAAAATAAATAATTTTACAGGCCTTTGGAGGTGTGTCAGATCACTGAGTTGTCCTTCCTTATCTGCTCCCAAGCTATCTGATACATTCTAACCATGTCGCAGGGATTCAGAGTAAATGGAAGAGCTGACGTCAGAACTGTCCAGATGAAACCAGGAAATTCCCCAGCTTCTTGCTTGAATTTCGTTGGACTTGTCATGTTTCTATGGATTTTGCTGGAATTTAATTCTGTGAGGCTGAATTTCACCTTTGCCATACATGACTGATTAATACGTGCAGTTGGTGAAGATGAATTTGCAAGTACCACTATTAAGTTTTACCCATCTTCTGCAAAGCTTTCTAACCCCCTCCAACCCAAAGAAACACTATTTTCAGTTGAAAAATTGAAATGCTCCCTATGCAAATGCAGTACTTGGACTGAAGAATGGAATGGGAATGGGGCTGCACTTTACTTGAGTTGTCAAGAAATGCTCTTTTGTTTCTGGCTTCCCCAGGCACATGGAGGTCTGAAAGGTGTGAAAGGTTTTGTGATCCCTTTGTAAGGGAATGCACAGCAAGCAGTGACTGTAGTGCACCCGAAGAGAAGGTCTGCACACCCAAAAACAAACAAACAGGCAAACTTTTTTAAGTGGTGGGTCAACCTTCCTGTTACTATGATGAGAGTATAACTGGTTTGGGGGGCTCCATTTTAGAGTTAGAAGAACTTGCTGTAGACCTTCTGTACTCGTCCATCCCTAAAACTTTCTTTAACCTAGTGGCACAGGATCGCATTTGGAAGAACTCCAGAGAAGGAGACTCCACAGCCTCCCTGGGCAGCCTGTGCCAGGGCTCTGTCACCCTCACAGGAGAGAAGTTCCTCCTCACATGGAGATGGAACTGCCTGTGTTTCAACTTACACCCATTGGCCCTTGTCCTGTCACTGGCCCCCAATGAGAAGAGTTGGGCCTATCTTCCCTACGTTGTACTGTCAAGTATTTATACATGTTGATCAGATCCCCTCTCAGCCTTCTCCAGAGAAAACAGGCCCAGTTCGCTTAGTCTCTCTTCATACAAGAGATGCTCCATTCCCTTAATCATCTTTGTTGCTCTCCGCTGGACCCCCTCTAGAAGCTCCACGTCCCTCTTGTCCTGGGGAGCCCAGAACTGCCCCCAATACTCCAGGTGCGGCCTCCCCAGAGCTGAGCAGAGGGGCAGGATCCCCTCCCTCCACCTGCTGCCAACATCCTCCTGATGCAGCCAGGATCCCATGGGCCTTCTTGGCCATGAGGGCACTGCTGCCTCGTGGGTAACTTGGTGTCAACCAGGACTCCCAGGTCCCTCTCTGAGGAGCTACCATCTAGCAGGTTGACCCCTAATCTGTCCTGATGCCTGGGGTTATTCCTGCCCAGGTGCAGGACCCTGCAGTTGTCCTTGTTGAACCTCAGGAGGTTCCCCTCTGCCCAATACACTGTTGAATTTTTTTATGTAAAATTTTTGAAACTTCTCCGAGGAGAAGATCCTTAAAGCAAAGGATTTCTTTTCCATCTTCATTGTAAATACTTTTCCAAAATTCTTTGTAACTTGTTTATTAGATTGTTTTGATCTAGGGAAGGACTGGAGCTGTTGCAGTTTTATCTTTAAACAGTTCTGTTTATTGAAAAGCTGTGGTCTCCACAAGTGTGCGTTGGTTTTCCCTTTAGATAGAGAAGCCATATATGACTTTCCTTGTTATAACATATGCAAACACCTTGAGGATGACAATAATACTGGAATTGATCTCTCTACTGGGTATTGTCTCTTTGGGCAATAGTACTTAATGTGCTGTTGGGGATTACGTTAGAGCTTTCTGTTTCACAGAATTGGCTTGGAAATGTTTTGGAGATGACATTGGCATGTTTAGTTATAAGGAAAAAGTCCCTCAGTTTAATTTGGCAGGCATGATAGGTAAGTACTAAAAACCTACTGTAGAAATAACGTTTAGTGTTTTAAAAATGGAGCTGTATTGAGTTACTGTGTTTAAAACTTAGATGTTAAAAATCGCTCTTCACGGGGAGTTGCATGGGGGAGTTTGTTTTTGTAGCACAGTGAAGTTGTTCGGACTGTTCCTTTGAGTAATTGAACTAATGCCGCCTTCCTTCCAACAGCTTCATCTTTTACTTTTTTGCAGCTATTTTTGCCTTTGCAGTTTCTTTCTGTAATGCTGTTCTTAATAGTCTAGCTGAGTGTGGATGTGTGTT